TTTTTTTTTTTTTTTTTTTTGCTTGATCTTAAGGCCCAAGTCCCAGCTGTCCATTTTCATAGGATCATCTTGCTCTGGAGATAATCCTATGTGCTTCCTCCTTTTTCAAATCATTTTTTTCCTCTTTCTCAAATCTGGTTCTTATTGTTTGCCTTCTTGAATGTCAGACCACATGATGGACCTTCTGCTTTTAAAGGCAAAGGTTATGATTAAAAAAAAGATTGTGATAAAAAAAAAGACAGTGATCAGACATTATTGAGTAGGCAAAACTATAGAGACAGAAATGATTGGTGGATGCCAGAAGGGGGCATCAAGAAACTTTTGGGGCGAGAGGTCTGTCACAATCACTCTCTTGATTGTGTTGGTGGTTATACAACTGTGTTTTTGGCAAAGTTTGCCAAACCGTACTTCAAAAAGAGAGTGTTTGCTGCATGTAAATTACACCTCAAATTAAAGAAATAAAAATCCCGACAGAAATCTAAATTAGAGGACATTCTAGAAAATAACTGGCCTGACTCTTCAAACATGTCACTGCCACAAAAACAAAGATTGAGAAATTCCTTGAAGTTAAAGGAAACGAAAGAGATCTGACAACTAAATACCACATGTGATCACACCTTAGGTCTGCGGCCTGAAAAACATGGCTACAAAGAACACAATTGGGAAAACTAGTGAATCTGGAATATGGGCTGTAGATTAGATAATAGTATTGTGTCAATGTTATGTTTCCCGAATTTGATGACTGTTACTGTGGCTAGGTCCACATCTCCTCGTTTTTAGGAGATACACACTGAAGTATTAAAGGGTCTGAGGCAGGCAAACATACTCTCAAATGATTCAGAAAGAACATACACAAGTATAGAAAGAATGATGAATCCAATGTGGCAAATGGTAAAAGCTGGAATCTGGGTAAAAATAAATGGAAATTCTATGACTGACTCTTAGAAATTTTCTATAGCTCAATGATTGCAAAAAAAAATTTTTTTTTAATGGATCAACACATAACACTAACCCAATTTAATATGACCTTGTTCAGGGATAAGGGATGGCTTCTTCAGATAATGGGAGAAGGGATGGTAGATGAGGGCTAATGCAGAGATTTGCAAATGTTCTGCAGTCAGAATCCAGTCTGAAAGTGGGAGCAAATGCCAGACACAAATCACAGCAGGGCAGCCCCTTGCCCCACAGAGCAGTTTAAACTATACTCATGAGACTCATCTCTTCCTTTTAGGGAGAGTTACAGGGCCTGAGACCCTGCTCCTGGACGCCGGCCCTCCCTACTCACCATCAGTGTTCGCCAGCACTGTGCTGTGCTTCACAAAGGCCACATCCCCTGCCCCGTCCGCCAGGCACCTGCAGAGGAGAAAACAGTGAGCCTGGGTGGAGCTCATCTGCCTTCTGGAGGTCTGTTCTGGACCGAAGGGGTTGGTGATGGTGGGCACAGGTTTCACGGTCAGGCAGTCCCAGGATCTAGCTCCCTGGTTTGTCTCCTGTGTGGCTTTGCCAAGTTGTGGAGCCCTCCTAGCCTCTATCACCTCTAAAGTGGGGATAAGAAAGTAGCTTTCCATAGGGAGAGATCCTTTACAATCAGCATAGACACTGTACAGCCCAGCTCGGAGCCTGAGTGGAGCAGGTACTCATAGGGCAGTTGCTGTTATCAACAGCTTCAATGCTCAGGGTGTTTTGAAGATGACTCTGCCCTGAGGCAGGGGATTAGGTGAGACCTTCTCATGCCACACCAAAAACCCCTGAGTGGAAGGGACCAGGACTTTTATGTATCCTTTATACGTCACTGCCCAGTGAGGGAGGCAGGCCAGGCCCTACTGGGAAAAGGGCTGCCTGGGTCCCCACAGCCAGCAGAGAAGCAGGGTCTGGGCTGGGGGAATACCAGGAGAGCGGGGCGGGCCAAAGGCTCTGGCTTCGAGGACTGAGGACTGTTTTTCTCTCTGTGCCCCAAACTGCATTTTCCCTGATCCCACCCTGGGGCGTGGGGCACCAGCAGACTCCCTGCTTCCGGGTGGAAACACTGAGGCCGAGGCAGTTAGAGGGGTTCAGGAGGCATCCACTGCCGGCCCTGCTGAGCATGTTTCCTCAGCTGTGGACAGACGCAGCTATGCCACATGCTGTTGGAGACTCTCTTTGGGCTCCAAGGAGAGCGCATCCAAAGTACCAGCCCTAATCGGGTGCGGAGCTGAGGCCAGTTCCGACTGTCAGGACTTCCAGGGTTCCCGCCACACTTTCCCACTCCTATCACCCTCCCTGTGAGTCTGAGACACCAGAATGGGGACACAAAAGTGGCAAAAGGCTGTTTTTGTCATTTTCTACTCTCTAAGCCCTCATCTCTCTAAATACACTAAACATGTTGATTTTGTGAGCAAATCCAGTCCGGCATATTCCAGGTTGATGTTTTTAAACTAACCAGGCACATGAACTATATAAAGGGTGCTTTGAAGAGATGCAGCCAACACTGCCCCACCCTTGGGACCTCTCAGTGCAGCTATTTACCACCCGCTCTGTGGCCTCAAGGTCTCATCCCTGACTCAGCGCCCCCCACCCCTGCCCTCTCCTCTCACCTGAAGGCTCCGCTGTAGTCGTAGTATCTCTCCAGGGAGCTCTTGTCACACACCCCCTCCCCAGCAGTGTTGCCCCTGCACAGGCGACAGAGGGACTCTGAGTAGCTGGTCTCTCCTGCCCCGGGGACGCAGCTGCCCCCAAAATAGTCGCTGACAGCTGTGGGAAGGAGGCAGAGGGAGGTCAGTCAGCCACACGGGGTCAGACCCCTGGGCCAGGGCCCCCAGGGAGGGCTCACTCTCCTCAGGCTGCAGTTAGGGCGGGCTGGGCTCCTCAGGGACTCGCTGGACCCTCCAAGCTTCTGTCCGAGCAAAACTGGGGAGCTGGACTGGGTCAGTGACTCCCAAACTGGGGCCACAAAAGCAGCAAGGGGTGTTGGGAGTGAATTTCGCTATTTTAAAAACAGTTCTGGGGGATAAAACATTTATCTCCACTTGCCCGCAAAGGGCAACTGTCAAATAACTACTGTTCTCACTGTGGGTTTCACTTCAAATCAGTTACGTGTCATCAATGAAAGCGGGGAAAGAAAGAAGTTATTACATAACGATTACAATTAATTTCATAGACAACGCTTTCGAAAACACAGGAAGGGGCAGGGAAACGGTGAAGTGGTCAGGATTGGCATGGTTTTGGGGTCGCCGCCAGCACTGAGGCCCAGTGTCCACCCTTTCGGCAAATATTTATCCTGTGCTAAGGTCACCTTAGTGCCACATAGGGTGAGCAGGAGGCTGGCTCATCACCCAGCTGGACCACACTCTTCCAGGGTGGGCTCCCTTTCCTGGTCTGCTTTTTGCCTCCTCCCAGAGGAACAGAAATTTAATAAATGTGCCAACTGAAAGACAGGCCACCCATATCTGGCCACCATCCGAGGGGACAGGGCTTCCAAGCTCTTGGAGGTTGTGCTGGTTTACACAGTGGTTGGGTTGTATGGGGGCAGTGAATGCATATGTATGCGTGCACGTGTGTGTATGGGTTTGTGCATATGTGGGCGTGGCCCATGCACGTGTACATGTGTGCGTGTCTGTGTGTGCATGTGTATGAGTATACGATAGCAAGGTGCCCCCGAGAGGTATAGGAGTTGAGCTCATGTAGCAACAGCTCTGTGCAGTGAGGATATACCCTGTGCTATGTCCTGTGCAAAGTCGTTGTGTGAATTATCTCAGCTCTTCCAACATCACAGCCTTGTAGTGCTAATTTTCCTGTGTTACAGATGAGGAAACTGAAGTTCAATGAGGGAGACTAGGCTGAGCCAGGGTTTAAATGTACATCTATCTGACAGCAAAGTCTGGGCTTTAAAAGACCATTATGCTCAACCACTGGTTGAGTGTCTGACTTCGGCTCAAGTCATGATCTCGCGGTTCATGAGAGTTCGAGCTCCGCGTCGGGCTCTGTGCTGACAGCTCAGAGCCTGGAGCCTGCTTCGGATTCTGTGTCTTCCTCTGTCTCTCTCTCTGCCCCTCCCCTGCTCATGCTCTCTCTCTCTCAGAAATAAATAAACATTAAAAAAAAAAAAAGACGATTATGCTCTCCCACCTGCCCCCACCGACAGGGACTGGTCACCCGTGGAACAAACCAGGAGGTAGCACACTCATGGATAAACTCTACTGGGGGTGCTGTGATCCCAGGAGGACAGTTTAAGAATGTGGTTGTCATGTGTCAGGGGCCACTTCACTGTACTATGCCTGCCGTGGAGAGACTGGTGGCCAGGAAAAGAAACCCCAAGCAGGAGAAGCACAACTTCCACCTGAGTGCTCTCAGTCAGGCACTCAGCGCTTCAGCTCACTCCCTTGGCATGTTTTATTCTCAACAACCCCTCTCAGATCACTCTCACCTCCCTTCCATGGGACACATTCTATTTGCAGGACAGCCCTATTCTTACTAGAAATGAATCGACTGGGGTTACCCACTTGTGAGCTTTCTGGGTATAAGCCAGCAGCTTGTCTGGGCCCCGAAAAAACAGTTTCTAGTCTGTAATGCCGAGGACACGTCTCTGGAAGTAGGAACCTACACAGGTCTACCAGGTGAGAGCTGCTCCCTGAGCATCACTGCCTCCCAAACACGGGTGGGACCTTGTTGTGCTCAGGGGTGTCCTAGGGTACCGTGATGAGTGAGCCAGAGTCAAGTGCCCTGGAGGGCCGATCAACCAGAACTTAAACGGTAGCAACAGCAGGCTGGCCAGCACTAAAGAGAGGGCCAGCACCAAGTAGGTGTCCGGAAGGCCCTGGAGGAGGTGCGATGGGGCTGCTCCTTAGTTAAAGGAAGCTGCGGACGAAGGTGAGCCTGAGGGCGGTCACCTGTGAGGGGAAGGCAGCGCAGCAGCCAGTGGGGAGACCCAGCGCTCCTGCAGGAGAAGCCTGCCTGGCCCAAAGCCCTTACCTTTGAGCAGGTCGCAGCCCATCACGGAGAGGCGGCCGCTTTCCACCAGGTAGCCCACGGGCACGTTCCAGCCCACCGTCCTGTTGATGCCCGTGTGACAGGACTTCATGCCTTTCAGGGTGTCGATGGTCACATTGGAGCTCCTCTTGACCACAGCTACGGCGTAATAGGAGGTACCAACCTCTAGAAGGAGAGACAGGAGAGGAGTGAGGGTGGCAGTGAAGAAGCCACCAGAGAGGCTGGAACCCTGCCTGGGAAGGCTGTGGGAGATGGGTGTGTGTGTGTGTGTGTGTGTGTGTGTGTGTGTGTGTGTGCGCGCGTGCACGTGCACCACATATCCTGAGTTAGACACAGATCTGGTGCAAGGTGCAGGGACTGGGGCAGAGGCTTTCACATCTCCAAGCCCTTACCATGTGTCAAGTGCACACCATGAGTCAAGGCTGACTCGTTTCATTTGCGTGACAGGACAGGGGTTACTCCCCCCATTTTACAGTCAAGGAAGGAAGGTTGTTCAAGGCCACAGAGGACCATAGGAAGGGGCGGGACTGGGATTTGATCTTGGTCGGTTGAGCTCTGCAGGTCCTAGGCAATACCTCTAGCCAGCCCCTATCCCCACTTCGTGCCATTTCTGACACAGGGTCACTGAAGTGCTCGGGCGCTGGGCATTACGAAGACTCCTTCACCCAGTCAGTTGTGCCTAACACTATAGCAGACATGGGGCAGCCCCTCGGTAAGGGCTTGTGGGTGCAAGTTCCAGGCCGGCTGGGCTCCCCACAGGGGAGAACAGACTTAAACTGGCCCTCTATGTCTGTGGCGCCCCCGCTCTAAGGGGGGTGGCAAGAGAGACTTAGGGGAGTCTCTGTGGGTTGGTCTGGCCTGGACACCAGGACTGGTCTGGGGACAGGGCTACTGACCAGCTAGAGGGCCAAACCCACTGCAGAGTGACATCCTCTGTCCTTTGGCCCGCCCCTCTTCCCACTCAGCCCTCTGACCTTGATCATATACTTCGCCCACCACGGGCTTCAGGCCATGCTCCTTCCCTGCTTCATAAATGGCTCCTCCATCCAGGGTGATGGCATCAGCCTTCTGGGCCTGCTGGGAACATGTGGGTCAGCCCAGCCCAGCCACCCCGGCCCATTCGACGAGGAGTTCACAGACACCCACTAGTCTGCCTAGGGCCCCTTGAAAAGCCATGGAGGTCCACACTCGTCCTCTTTGTCTGGCTCAGCCTTGCAGCCACCAGGGTATAGCGGGCTCACGCTTTACCAGGTCCTAGGTGACAGCTCTCCTAGGCCAAGGGTTTGCCTTTTCTAATTATGTATTTAAAAAATATTAATTTTCAGGGCGCCTGGGTGGCTCAGTGGGTTAAGCATCTGACTCTTGATCTCTGCTCGGGTCATAATCTCATGGTTTGCGTGTTTAAGCCCCACACTGGGCTCTGCGCTGATGGTGCGGAGCCTTCTTGGGATTCTGTCTCTCCTTCTCTCTGCCCCTCCCCTGCTTGTGTGCTCTCACTCTCTTTCTCTCTCCCTCTGTCAAAATAAATAAATGAACTTAAAAAAATCAGATAGTACAAAATGGTATGTAGTGGAAAGTGAGCCTCCCTCATTTTCCTGCCTCTCAGACCTCCGCCTCCACTCTTAACCTGTTTCTCAGATTTTCTAAGATGCAGACTGAATCCCACAAATTCCCGCTTCATTATTTCCCCTTTTTTATTTCAAAACACAAATGGCAGTATACCTATCAGTGTGATGGGGTCCATGATAAAACTGTAGTTCAGTATAATCGCTTTCCTCCCAGTGGAGCCTGACCGAAGCCCCCGGCCCATGTGGTACTATATGATTGGGTTAGCTTTGGGGAGAAATCAAGGGCTGAGCTGAAATGAAATCCCAGGTTCCCTTGTGCCTGTCCAGAAAGCTTCCCTCCAGGCACTGTCCTTCCACTGAAGTCCTGCCTCTGAGTGTCAGTGCCAGCTGAGCAGATCCGCCCCTCAGCACTTCTTTCCCACCCCCATTCACCCACCTAGGACTGCTGGCCTTCATTCCTCCTTCCTGAGAAAGTGCACAAGCCCCATTCGGGAAAGCTTCATGACGGCCTAACTACCATGGGCCACTGAGGGGGCTGCTGTCTGGGCGCGCCTTGGTGGGGGTGGGTAGTGTCCCTACTCTAGCAGGGGCCTTGTGGAAGGAAAACTCTGCCTCTTAGATATCTTTCCCCACTGGCGCCCACGGAGCAGGGGCCCTCTCTGTGGCCTCCCAGTGGCTGGCCTGGGCCCTGGCGGGAAACAAGCCGGCCCTTGTTGCCTGGGAAACTCAGGAGATCCTAATGCCCGCCCCGAGGGGGAGGAAATCGGCACCTTTCTCTGTGAATGACGCTGTTGTGTACTCCCTCGTGAGTCAGAGCCCTCCCGTCTGGCAGGGTGTGGTAGTGGAGTGAGGGGGCAGGACTCACCGTGATGAGCTGGATGCAGTGGTCGGCTGAGGTGCCCTGGACACACAGGAGGGATGGCCGGATACCGGCTTCCTGGAAGGCTTTGCTCATGTCGCTGCATTTCTGCTGCTCTGGGTCTGAGGTGGTGCACCACCGCACCTCCATGCCGCCGAGCGCTGGGGGCAGGGGACAGTGAGGTCCGGCTCCCCTGGCATCCCGAGCCCAAGCAGGCTGGCTCCAGCAGCTGTGTGTAACCCCACGAGCCTGTGTAGCCAGTGCTCTACTGTGGCCCTGCCCTCCCGCTGGGAGGGACCAAGGCAAAAAGTGTCACAGACTGCACGCATATTCCTGCACTTGGGGCAGCTCAGAGCCTGGTACTTTACAGAGGCCAGGGAACGTCTCCGGGGGTAGTGCTGGGCTACCCCCGAACCTGCTTAGCCTGGTGGCTGGAAAGAGCACTGGCTGGGGAGTCGCGGCTGGCTCCGTGACTGGGCAAGTTCCTGCCTAGTCTTGGGGCCTCTGTGTCCTCCAACAAGAGGGTGATGGACCAGGTTCTCTCACTCAGGATCCCTGCACCCTCCTCAGGAGCCGGGAATTGAGACTGGGAAGTGGTTACGGGTGCCCTTGAGGAGACTTGCATCCTCTTGGAGTATCTGTGATTACATCCATTGCAAACCCACCCTCAGGGTCACAGTGCCAAGGGGAAGCTGAGGAACCAGCAGGTGGAGTTCACGTTTCCGCTCCTGGAGAAGGAGCTAGTGACTTCAGGCAACTTATTTTCACCTCTCTGAGCTTGCTCTGTCATCAGAGAGTGCAGATGAGAAAAGCCACCTTCTACGCTGTAAGTAAACCTATGTAGAGAAACAGGACACATAGCTCTTTCGTGGACTTTTGCTTAGACCCTTCCTCCTGGTGGGGAGCCTCCTGGGTCCCGAGGTCTGACCGGGTCAGGGTCCCAGAAAGCATCCAGCCTGGGGGCCCCAGCAGAAGTGGGGCCAGATGTCCTTGCAGTCAATGCCTTGGAAGACCTGAGTTCCTCCACCACTCACCCTGTCCAGCTTTGGATCCAGTTCCCCACCCCCAGGAACCAGGTCATTCTCTCCTGGCAGCCTGTCCTTCCCATCCCCACTCCAAGGGTCAAGACTGCAGGGTCCTCCACAGCCTTCCTTTTGCAACCCAGCTCCTGGCGGCATCCTGGAATGTGAAACTGCGTCCCCCTTCTCCAGAGCCCCAAGACTGCACCTTGGTAGTCCCGACAACCGTAGAGTTGGGACCCGGGTAGAGGGTCCAAATTTTGTATTGGTGAGGTCACAGGGTGAACCCATCCTGTGTCCGCCCGTCCCTGCCAGCAGCTCCCCGATGCCCAGACTCACGCCTCACTGCCCTGGGCCCTGACTTCCTTGGGAGAGGGCGGTGCAGACGCGAGGAGACCCGACAGCGCCCCCTCCTCCTCGCTGCACCTCGCAGGGCGCCCTAGGGTGCTCGTAGCTTCTGGGCACACACGCTCCCGGCTCGGGTCGTATCTCACGTCTCACCACCGGTCCCTTAGAATCTCTTCCCGCTTCCCTCCCGGGCTCGGGAGAGGCAGAGTCGCTCCGGGCCCCCAAACACTCTTCGGGCTTCCACGCCTACCAAGAGCGTTCACCCTCCCAGCTGTCCCCCCGACCCTCCAAGACGCTCCCCTCCACGCCTCTGGCCGCCCCTCTCCTGGGCAGGTCAGCAGGCCCGTTTTTCCAAGGCCCAGCTCAATGCCGTTTCCCCCAAGAAGCCCTCCGGACGTCCCAGTCGGCCGGGGTCAGTGTTAGTACCCCCCCCCCCCCCCCCCCCCAACCCCCGGCGTCTTCAGCTGCACTTGGCGCCTTCCTACGCCTCCCCTCTTTCCGGGGAGATAAGGACTCAGAGCACACTTCCTAGCTGCGTGGGACCCTGGTCCGGGGCTGGAGAACTGCAGGACCCCCGCCCCAGCTCCTACTTCCGCTCCTGCTCCCGAGACCGGGCCGTCGGGCCTCACCTGTGCGCAGAGCGAGGAGGATCCACAGAGCGACGCTCGGGCCCCGCATGGCGCGGTCTAGAGCTAGCTGGGGCCGGGCTGGGTGTCGGTGCGTCTAACTCTGGGTCCGAGTAGGTCAGCAGTTGCTGGAACTTTTCGCCTCCTTCCTCCCTGGCACTGGCCTGCAGCTACTTAAATGCGGCCAGGGTGTTTCTCGGCGGTGTCCACGCCCCTAGGGCGCACCCTCCCGCCCCAGACTGGACACCTGGGCTAACCAGGCTGGCCTTGGCCCTCTCTCTGGCGCCCCCTGCCGGAACCTCAGGCGGCGTGGGGGACCCAGTCTAACCGCCGACTCCTAGGTGCTCCCAGCTTCTGAGCACACACGCTTACTTGTCCCTGAGAGTCATGTATCTGTTGTCTGGGACCTGATTCCCCCAGCTAACACGCTGTTCTAGAGTTGTGTCCCCTCAACTCTCTGCCCCACATTCCAGAGCATTCACCCCTCCCCTTGTTCTAGAAACACCCTAAATATCATGTTCAACTGAAGAGGGAAAAGCTCAGATTTGGAAGGAAGAAGTCAGAAACCTGGAGTCTGAGCTGCAAGGAAGCTGAAAGGCCATTGAATTCATTCACCAGCCTCTCTTCAAGTACATATTTGCACAAAGGATCTGGGGATACAGAGATGAACCCAGGTAGATGTGGTCCTGCCTGGGGGAGGGGCTGTGAGGGTGGGGGATTGTCTGTCCTTGGGCCTAGACTGGGGAAGTGACTTTGCCCTGTGTTCACACATTTAGTCAGTGATGGAGCTAGAACTAGAACCCAGGTCCCTGGCAGAGCTTGGCTCCTTCCATCATGGTTTGAAACATGGGAAGAAGACTAAAAATGGGGAGGAGGACGAAGCAGAAAATTACAGAGGGGGACATGAAAGGAGAGAGAGAGAGAAGAAGGTGAGGGAGGAAAAGCTGGGTTGTCTATTTTTCTAGGCCACTGGGTCTCAAAGTGTGTCCCCAGACCAGCAGAATCAACACCATCTGGGAAGCTGTTAGATATACAAATTCACAGGCCTACCTCTGACCCACTAAATCAAAAACTCTGGGGGAAGGGCCAACAGTCTCTTATGTATGTATGTATGTATGTATGTATGTATGTATGTATGTATTTTTAAGTAGGCTTCATACCTAGTGTGGAACCCAATGCAGGGCTTGAACTCACAATCCTGAGATCAAGACATGACCTGAGTACAACAGTGAGGCACTTAACCAACCGAGCCACCCAGGTGCCCCAACAGCCTATGTTTTTGATTCTGGTGCACAGCTGAGTCTGAGAAGCACTGATCTAGGTGGACCGGAACTGCAGTTCCCCACGTGTGTTGGGGATGTGGGGAATGGACTGCAGAGATTGTTACTCAGTTATCTGCCTCCATTTCTGTCCTCATTTTTGTCATCGCCCTTTCATGGGTACCCAGGAATGAGAGCCTCCCTGTCTCGGGTAGAGGACACATGTAATAAGAACACTGAGTGAGATAAGGGATCCCTGGGTCTGAGTTTGACAGTCCTTGAGCCTGCTATGCTCTGTGGGAGAAAGAATGGGCTACAAAGCTGTTCATCACACCCTGAGATGATTTGTGGCAAATCACACAGGCTGCACTTTGGGAGACCTGAGTCCTACTCCTTCGTTATCACTGACTCACTGGGTGACCTTGGGCAAGTTTGTTCTCCTCTCTCTGGGTTTTAGTTTCTCCATATATAACACGTAGGTCATGGGGGCCCTGATGTGCCATTCTTCTTCCCCCAAAAGATATCTGCTCTGGAGAATCAGAGGGGGACCTGTGTGGTGGAGGCTGTTTTTCCATTCCCAGCTGGTTTCATCAGGAGAGGGAACCTCTTTCTAATCCACACAAACAGCCTAGGAGGTGGCCCTGGCAGTGGGACTATGCCTATCCTAAGAGAATAAAATAAATAGAAGGGTCCTCAGCAAGTCTCATTCTCCTGACCATGAGGATGAAAAGGCTCATTTTGTCATACTCCAGGCGCCACCAGAAGGTACTGGCAGGATTTGTGCTCATTAAGTTATTCCTCTAGCAAAACTACAGGTGACACTGATGAGCTATAACCTGAGAACCTGGGGAGGCAATTTCATGATGGGGTCCTTCCCCCTATCTCTGGGGAGTCATTCCCCAACTGTGACTTATCAGTGAACTTACTGTCTCTGGCCTGTAGAGGCTTCTATGTCGGGCCCATTTGCTTGGCCTTAGCATGGACATAGCTTTGGCCATGGACATTACACACGTAGATACCTATATGTAATGGGGAACTCTGACTTGTCTTGAGCCTGGATCCTGCCATTGCTGGGGTACAGCCGTCCCTGGGTGTAGCAGAGGAATGGGTGGGATGCCATGAGAGAATAATGAGCCAGTAATTTAACCTGGAAACAGCTGTATAGAGTAGCAGAAGTGCTGAGGACAGTTTGGTCCCTATTCTGGACACATACTGAGGAGAGGAAGAGGGTCTCTAAGCTTCCTTCTGGAAATAAGAACTGGCTTCACTAAGACTTCTATGAGAGGCTGGGATCCAGACAACACTGTTTTCGGATGTCCCCCCACCGCCCGACTCTAATCCGTCATATAAAATACAAAGAGCTCCTCTCCACTCTGCCAATGATACAGCTCCAGCTCTCCAAGGATGCAGGGTGCCCCCCAAACATGGAGCTTGCTCGCCAGGGTACTGAGGCACCACAGTAGGCAATGGGATGGAACACGTTGAAGACAGTCTCTGGGGACTCAGAAAGAAGGCGAGGCCTTTAACAGGGGGTAGAGAATCTGTGTGGGCAGCTGTGGGCTAATGAGCCAGCAAAATATGGATGAACAATTCTTTTACCCAGAATCTTGGGGCAAGTATTTTTTTTAAATCTCAACAAGCCATGATTTGTATTTTTCTGTTCCTATGAGCTGTAACGTCTTCGACTAAGAACAAGCCCCAACAATGCTTATTTAGGGGACACTTGGAAGGGCTGGTATGCACAGAAAATATGAGCAATTGTGAACATTTGGAGCAGTAAATGTGTTATCAAAGGGTATTACTCTTGACATTGTGATAAGGAAAAGAAAAGAGAAAATAGGCTGAGAGGGAAAGGTTAGGGCCTGAGGTCCCTGGTTGGAGACAAACACATATTTTGGAGCATTGATGGGAATGTCTGATCACAGCAAACTCCCTCTGGCGTAAGGTTCCTCTTAAGAAGGTGATGGACACCACCTACTCCCCCTTGGGTGCCCCTCAGGAATTTGACAATCAAAGTACCTAACTAAAATAAATAAACCATAAAACACGAGGGGCAGTGTGACCATAGTCTCACACCTCACACAAGAGAGTCTAGCCAGTCAGAAATGGACAACCTAGAGTTATCCAGCCAGTCAGGGTAGAACCTGAGAAGGAACAAGTGAGAAGGGAAGAGGGAGGCTGACCGGAACCCTATAGAACAAAACCCTTTGCCTATAGTTGTGCCTATAGGCATTCACTTTCGAACGTCCCCTCTCTGTAAAGAGAGCTTTTATACGATTCTTCCTTTCTGATCTTATACTCTGATAAACTTTAGCCCGCTGCTCATTTTGTGTCCACCTCTTCATTCTTCAAAGCAGCGAGACAACAAATCCCGGGTATTGAGGTAAAAGATCCTGCAACAACATCAGTCACCATGTACTTGCTGACTCGTTAATACATCTGAATTTGTATATTGAGATCAATGATAGATATATTGGACACGCTTTGTGAATACAAGCTTTTGTCTCTTTAAACGTATTTTCCCTATGAAGCTTCCCTTAGGGAGAGCCCCGTTCACTTGGGCTACACAATATTTTCTGCGTGTAAGCTTTTCAAAGGCAGATTCTGTGCTTGTTCTTCTTTGTGTTCATCACAGGGCCTTGAGCATGGGGAATGATTTCTATTGGGTTAGGATATTACTCATTGCTGTTCAAGTATCTTGTGCTGCTGAGGGGGAAGAGCCACAGAATTTGGGGAGTAGGAGGTCCACAGACAGCTTTGTCCGAGCAGTTTCAGTGGCAGGGCAAGGGCCAAGGTTTGGCCAGGAGGCTGAGCAGCATGAGGGCAGGGTGTCCTGTCTACTGTCATTCCCAATGGCCAACATCCTGTCTAAAATACTGTAGGCATTCAACAAATCATTAGTATTTATTAGAAATGGACGGAAAAATGGACAGTGTCCTTTTCAAGATATTTGGCTAAGAAAGGAAGAGGAGTGAGGTTGTTTCAAGGGGATTAGGAGTCCACGGAAAGTTTTTATAGGTTAGGAGAGATTTGATTATGTAGTCAGAACACAAGTAGCCCATGCAGGAAGGAGACTAAACACACAGGAAAAGAGGGTTAATTGAAGAAGACGTAAGGAATAAGAACAGGAGGACAAACAGAGAGGGAAAGGGACAGTGTTTCTTCCTTGGAGATGGGAAAGAAGAGGGGTGGGAAAAACTCAGCATCAAACCTCCATTCAAATGTAAGCCCAGCATCCCCAAGCTTGGTTTATTATTTTAGTTATCAAGCCACGAAATGTTTTTTCCCCTGAAAACTTTCTTTGCAACCCAGAATTTAAAATGTAGAGAGGGGGGTGCCTGGATGGCTCACTCAGTTAAGCATCACTCTTGATCTCAGCTCAGGGCTTGATCTTAGGGTTGTGAGTTCAAGCCCTGTGTTGGGCTCTTCCCTGGAAGTGGAGCCAACTAAAAATTAAATAGATAGATAGATAGATAGATAGAAAAATAAAATTGTAGAAGAGGATTAAAAGACTGAGATTGGGGCACTTGGCTGGCTCAGCCAATTAAGCGTCTGACTCTTGGTTTCAGCTCAGGTCATGATCTCACAGTTCATGAGTTCAAGCCCTGCATCAGGCTCTGTGGTGGCAGTGCAGAGCCCGCTTGGAATTCTCTCTCTCTCTCTGCCCCTCCCCCACTCACACCGTATCTTCCTCTCTCAGACAAATAAATAAAAAACATAAAGCTCTGAGATTAACTGTGCAGATAGAGTTTTAAAGCTATTAATAAATCTCCATCTACACCAAAAACCACAA